TATATATATATATATATATATATATATATATATATATATATATTCAAATGTAATTTATTCCTGTAATGCCAAAGCTGGATTTCTTCAGTGTCACATGATCATTCAGAAATCATTCAAATCAACAGTTGAGCTGCTTAATATTGTTGTGGACATTGATAATTTTTTTCTTTGATGAATAGAGAGTTAAAAAAAATAGCATTTATTTGAAATATAAATCTTTTGTAATATTATTAACGTCTTTGCTGTCACTTTTCAGTCAATTTAACGCCCTTCTTCATTCTCAGGCATTCTCACTATCACAAAAGAATGATAGTGAGAATGAAGAATGATGTGGTGCATATATTTTGTATTTACCAATATTATTATTATTGCAGGATCAGAGTTCAAAACAGCATTCGCTGATGGGTTCCCGTGTAACTGATCCACTGGAAGCTCTTGGTCCTGCTCCTTATGATCCTGTGTAAGACACATTTTCACCTCGTCCTCTATTTATTTTTCTCATTTAGTCCCTATAGATGCATGTACGTCACACTAAATATATTATGATATGATTCAAATCCAGCTATCGTCTGAATGTGTGTGTACAGGGCTGGCTTTGTGATCTTCTATGACCTAGTGATGGGTGTTGAAGCTACTTTGAGATCAGTGCGTTTATTGGCAGGGTTATATTTTAATGGACAGAAGTTGGGAAAGACCACCCCAATGCCACCTGTGCAGTGCCAACCTGCAGGACCATTACTGTCCACCAAGAGTCCTGGAAACTATGCTATACTGGCTGTTAAGCAACCTGTGCCCGGGTAGTTTGATTCAGACATAAATATGGACAGGTAGAGCTGGTATATGTTTACATTGTTGAATATGTTTCATTTCAGAGTACAGCCATCTCCAGATCTCTCTTTGGTCGTAGAAATCCAGACTTCTAAAGGTCTGGATTTGTTCAACCATGAAACTGAGGGCTTGGTGACTTGTGGCTGGGCTAAGCTTGATCTCTTTGACCAGCACAACCAGGTACACAGCGGTCACTGGAGGCTTCCCTTCCGCTCTCTCCCAGTTCAAGCATCCTTAAGTCCAGGTCAACTGAATTCTGTGCCACAAGTACGTTCACCAAATACTAAATGGAGTAAATCAACCCAAATTTGATTATACAAATAAAGCCAATTGTAAATTCAAACATTTTGTATTTCAAGTAAATACATACAGGTTTTTTTGTCTCCCATCTCTGAAACATTAAAAGTTAATTACTTGACCTGGGTACATCCAAGTTGTTGTTTTTCGTGCGCGTGTATGTGGGGCTTCCCGTTGATCTAGGAACAGTTGTTTAAGGCTGCTTTATCCTTTTCACACCAAATCACAAACAGTTTACTCCTATTATAGTTCAAACATTATCATCCTATCATGGGATTCCACAAGTTTCTGGCCAATGAGCGTCTATGATTCCATTGGACATCTAGCTATATTTAAAGCAGAACACTTATTAAAAACAACGGGTAAAATATTAAAAGCCACATTCACATATGCAAATATTCTTTATTCAGAGTTTACAATTATACAAAAATTGGACAGAAAGAAAACAGGTTATTTACAAAACAGAGACAAAAGTTGTTCATGGCGTATATGAGGCAGGCATGCTCTGCTGGTTGGAAGGTAAGTGGTCGATCAGAAGATGCCCATTATGCTGACGTCTCCACAGAGGAAGAATTGGCTGACTGCAAGAGAAAATGAAAATTTTAAAAACAAACGGCAAAGAAAAACTGCTCAAAATAATAGTTTAGGCAATAAACTGAAGCTTGACAAATGATAAAACATCAGATGCAATACTCCAACCAATTCCATTAGCTCAGTAAGTCTACCAATATTTAGATAAAGAAACAAACTCCCTCTAAAATAGGATTTTGCTAGTATGTGTAAAAGTACATCCAGCTGAATTGTCCTCCTCTCAAGTTGTTGTTTCGACCTTTGTATTCTAACAATGTTACGATGCCAATATTTTAGAATCCAGCGCCCTGTGACTGCATAAGAGGAAACGGCAAGCCTATCAACTCGCCTCCTGCTCCATTTTCTCCTGGACTCCATTGCCGTTGTGGGCAGAGTCATCACTGCCATTAACTGAAGTCTCCTGTTTATTCTTTTTAGCATCACTGTCCTTTCTTGGACTCTCCTCGTCTGGTTTCCTCTGTGCAGGAATAAAGCAGGACAGAACACGTACTTATTTTTTTGCGCTAAACACCTAGTCTCTACATGCTACTCAAGCACATATGGCCACTTCAACACCACGCCACAACTACAACATGCCAAGCCACAATAATGAAGCCCAAACACCACATAAGCACCGAGCAACACCAAACCGGATCTAGTTGAAAAAAAAAAAATTCAGCTCATGACCCAGCATGCAAAATTGACCTCAACTAATGGAAGGTAGCAATGCAAATGCCCCTTTAGAGGCAGACTACCCTCATTCACTCAAATTTTAATAACTTTGAAGCATGCTAGTTAACCCACAAACCCCCCACCCATCCCTAGGCCTACTGCAATGGTTGAATTACACTTCAGTGGATAGATACTCACCTTTTTGCGAACAAGGTGAGAAATGTCAGATGCAGATTTTGAGGAAGATGCACCATCAGCTGGCCTCACAGGAATCTGAAAGAAAACAGGCATTTTAGGGTGGCACTATCCATTATAGGCTTAAAGTACCATTAAAGAGGAGAAATATCCCATAGAGCACGTCAAACTCAAGGCCCGCCCCATCATTGTGTGTCCCGCGAGAGCATATGATGGTCTTAATAAAAATCTATGCAGCTTTATATCGTAACTTACGAAAATGTGTATCAATACCACAAGTTTGTGTTTCTATTTGGCGTTTTATTTATACGCATAAATTGACTTGTGCATATGATATGCAATGGTTAGGCTTAGGGGTGTAGGGTTTTCCCCGTTGATGACAACTGCGTGGGTGGCTCAAAGGAATAAGTGCGGACCTCAGTGCTAGAGCCCCACCGACAGAAATGGAAAAACACAATCTTTCCATTAATTTAACAAATTAAAAACTTTTATTTTTTTTGCAGCTTTCAGACACGACTTCTAGTTTTAAAAGTTATTTTGAGGCGGTTTCTATAGAGTTATTTTAATAACAAATGTTCAGAGCGCATATTGCCTATACGAGAGTGCATCAAATGCGGGAGCACAAATCTCTCTGCTTGCAGGTGGAGTCCCATTCATTCAGAAAACAGACACGCTTTCTATCAATCAGACATTATAGGAGTGCGCTCAAATTACCTTCTCTCCTGAGTTTAATAAACGCAACCTGGAGTGTGGGCATCCACTGACAGAAACATACATTGGCGCATATGCCAACTAATGTAAATAAGTATTTACATAGCATAACAGTAGTAGTCTAAATGTATCCGTTTCGCACATGTCAACAATACATTATGAAAATAAAGCAGGTTTTTTTGCGATCAGATCAACTGGCAAACTCCTGGAAAGTCTAAGGATCTAGTAAGCAAATGCATTAAAACCGTAAGCTCAAAACCGCGCTAACGCAGAGAAAACATGGCCGATTTCATCAGAGATAATAGTACTCGCGTACAGATGTCAGTAAAATGTAATATCAGCACGCTATTTGGCTTAAAAGCACGCGTTTTATACTGGATGCTGGTTGAAGGCGTTTTAGATTACACAGTAGTCAGTGGTTTAGTAAATCTGGATCAGTCAGGTCAAGGTAGCTCATTTAGTGGTCTTTTGGCATCCCCCTGTGTGGTATCGCAGATTGACAGGTTAAATTTTTTGTATTAAAAGTGCTGTAAACTACTAAAATGTACAAATGTTAATTTTCTATGAAGCTGCTTCGCAACAAGTGTATCATAAAAAGTTATACACAAATGTGAATTGAATTTCAAACGGTTAATGAATTTATTTAGGCACTATACATTCATTGCAAATTATGAATTTAAAAATTTTAGTACTTTAGTTTATCAATTTATTTTTGGGTGGGGGAGTGGGGTCAAGTACCACCACATTTTTTTTTCCTACTACAAGCATTGATTGTGTATTATATGCACGCAAAAGTCAATTTCTGCAAAAAAAAAAAAAATAATAAAAAAATATAAAAGGCAAATGCCAAAAAGAAACAGAAAATCGTGCTATACACACTTTCATGAGACCGGACTCATTATTTATTTTTTTTAAATGCCATATCTGTCACATGTTCTTAGCAGCTCACATTTATTTGTTGTACCATAAATGTAACAAAATAGTTTAACAACTTAATGTAATGAGCTGTGTTTGATGATACTGGTCTTTATTTAATTTGATTTATGGAGTAATTTGGATTTCTTAACCTGATAAATTAAAAGGATGCATTAAAATAACATGGAGCAATAACATTTTTAGATCAATGCAAATGCATATGCAATATTTGTAACTCGACTAATAAAATAAAGAGACCGTTATTTAACAATACGTTAAGGAGTAGTAACATTTGTACAGTCTTACGGTTACAACTGGCCCTTTGATGGCAGCCATAATGTTGAAGTGGCCCTCAGTGAAAATGAGTTTGACACCCCTGCCTTAGAGCTTAGTTTCAGACTCAAAATGAGGATGGGCACATATACAGCAGTATCAATACTGACAAGGTCATTTATTTGGGATCAAAAAGAGATACTAAAATTATATTAATACAACACATGGTTTCTGAACTTTTAACTTCTGTGCCAAAAACCCTTGACATATTTAGCTGGTCTATGTCATATGAAAAAAATAAACCGCATTAAACTGGCCTTTCAGGAAACATTAGGGCCCCCATTTAAGAAATTGTAACAAAGTATCACCCATCCCTAATGCTAATCGAGGTAACATTAAGCATCAACACACCTGACTAGCAGTAGATGAGGACGGGCCACCATTTTCAGCTGGGAATGCAGATGAGGTGGACGCTCCTGCCTGTAACAAACAAATTCCAAACTATTCATCATTGGCTCTTTAGCCATTTTTACTGCATCCTGGGATGACCCACATGCCCAACTTCTCCACTTTTTGTGTGTACTAAGAGCAATGCTAGGGATGCATGACATAACGGTACCATATTCAATAAACGTATAATACAAGCCGATATCAGATTTGTCAACAGGAATTAATCAGCCACTGCAAAGCACTGAACAATGGATAACATGCTTCACGCATTTTCATTATTGCCCCAATATAACTCACAAGAGTCTGATGGATGGCCTCAGATGCTGCAGCAGCCGTCCTCTGGCTCTCCTTAGCATCTTCAATCTTCTCAGCAATTTCTGGCAGTAACTGTTTCAACTCCTCAAGCTCACTCTTCTCTTCCTTTGCTGCCTCTGCACCTTCCGCCTTGTCTATTACCTCCTGAATCATAGCTGAGGAAGAGTGGTGTGGAAATCAATTGAGAGTACCATGCTTGCTCATGGCAACTAGTGTTATCAGCAAGCAAATCCTCAGTTAAAAACACATGGCAAAAGACCACTGTGAAAATGTTCCTACCAAGACGGCTCTCGATGACTTTGATGGAGTTGGAGAAGTGCTCAATGGCTTGGCTGTACTGGGCTGTGTAGCTGTAAGTTGTGCCCAACTGGTAATGAGTCTCAGCCAGAAGACGACTATGAGAGGGAAGGTGTTTCAGCTGCAAGGTTAAACACTCATTGAAGTCCTCCAGAGCCTGGCTGTAGTTACCTACATAAAACAAAACGGAGAGACCATTTAATTAAGAGTGAAGAATAACTTAAATTTTACAGCAGCTTGTGAAACCCAAAAAGGTCCTTAAAATGAAGTCATATTTTCATCTACTCACACCACATACACACCTGATTCAGCTCCAACTTCTCCAAGTTTCAGGTAAATCTGTGCCGCCATTAGCTGATCTTCTTTGCAGTCTTTTCTACAAACCGAATAAAAGAATGTGTTTTTCTAAATGAAGCTCGAGTAAACGCATAGTTAAAATAAAAAAAAAATAGAAATGCAATATGGGCATACCTTTTATAAATCACCTTTGCAACCTCAAGCATCTCCCAGGCCAACTGCAGGTTTCCAACTTCATCCTCCTCACTGTCCTAAAAACACAAGGACACAATGATAAACCAGTAAATCAATGAAGAGGGGGACAAAAGAGAGAGAGAAGAAAAAATGGATTACAAACCTTATCCTTTGTGTCACCTTCTGCATCCTCCTCCTCCTCATCATCATCATCATCTTCATCCTCATCTAAAACATCAAAGATGTTAACTCACTGACACTGATCTAATGTAAAAGTCCATCACCTTGGACACCCTCAGTGACACTGCAGCTTAAAAGCCAAATACTCTATGGACCAAACAGTGTTTAAAAGATTCACCGGGTGAAATTTAGCAAAGGTATTTTATACTCCATTTCGTGCTCCCCAGACTCAATCATGCTTCACTACCTCCATCTTCCATGGGTCCTTCATTCTCTTCATTTCCATTTTTCTCCTCATCACCCTTTTCAGTAACTTCATTTGACACAGTGACATCTTCCTTTTTAGAAGCGCTTTCATCCACAGCTTTTGACTTCTCAACTTTTTCGGCAGGTTCCTCATTTTCAGCAGGTTTTGCCTCATGTTCAGCTGGTTTCTCCTCATCTTGAGCAGGTTTTGCCTCATGTTCAGCTGGTTTCTCCTCATCTTGAGCAGGTTTTGCCTCATGTTCACCTGGTTTCTCCTCATCTTGAGCAGGTTTTGCCTCATGTTCAGCTGGTTTCTTAGTTTTAGGTGATGCTGCATCCCCTTCCTTTGACTCATTAACCTTCTCCTGCTTCTCCTTAACTTCTTGGATCTTCTGCTCACCTTCCCCCACCTCTTTTTCGACCTCTGACTGAGTTTTGTCCTCTGACATGGCATCATAAACCTGTGCTCGAAGCTCATCTCTGGTTTTCTCTGCATCATAGTACAAATGGAGGGACATTTCTAGGTTACAGCTGGAGTCCCTCTTAAACGGAATCAAGTTTAAAAGTTAAGCTTGGTCAACATGCGCTGGTTTTTGTGCAGAACAGACAACGGTTAATTTGGTGGTTCTTTGGAAGCATCCTTTTTGCAGATGTCAAGTCTTGAGCATGCATGAGAAGAAAACAAACAAAAAAATTTGAACTGGCAAACTAAAACGTAAAACACAAACCATCCAAGTTGTCTGCGCTTTCAATTTTAGAGTCATTCTGTTTCTCGCCTTCTTCAGACGATTCTTCTGGGACTCCCTCTAAAGCATTACCAAGCACTGTATTCTCCATCCTAGAGAAATTTTAAAAACACCAAAGTTAGAAAAACTGATAACCTTTTCTTTTTATAAATGTAATGCATTAAATCTTAATCCATATACCTACCTAGCAAGCTCCAGAAGGGCTTTCCCACACAAGAAAAAAGCTTCACCACATTCATCAGCAGTGTCTCCATACTTTTCAGCTCTTAAGGGGGAAAATGGGTTACATACATGCATACACATAACTCGGCATTAAAAAAAAACACCACACTCTTTATATAATGCATATGCATTATAATATTCCTTCAGTACTCACAGCATGGCACAAGCCTCCTGGAACACACTCACTGCAGACACAACATCACCCATCACTAAGTGCCGGTTGCCGGTGCCAACCAGCTTCTTTGCTTCCTCAGAAACATCGACGGAGCTGCAAAATTTAATGAAGTAGTGAGTAAAATGAAGCTTAATACTCATTTTATCGAACTAAGCAGTTTTACTAAACCGAAACACGGATACCAACTCACCTGTCTGCAGCGCTGGACGAGCAAGGCTTCTCCGCCATACTGTAAAGATAAACAATACAAAAATATAGTCATACATTATTAAAAAGCCTCGAGTCTCTGAAGAATACGTTCAATGCGAGTCAATTTTCACTAAAGTTCGCTTCAGAAGTTCACGTGCCAAGGACCAAAGTTAGCTCGAAGCTACTATGACTGTTATTTCCTGACAGAGACTGTCAGCAATATCCACACGCAGATATGATAAACATCTAATGTCACAGTTTAATGTCAATATAATGTGCTATGTGTGTCGTTACCGCCACCTTTCAAACTTAACGCTCGACTTCGGCGCGCGTGCAGCCATTTCAATGCAGCTCCAAGCGCACTGACGGGCCATTCGTGACTACGCGTCAACAGAGCGGGACTTTCCTCATGTAGGATATATAAACAAGCAGGCCGTTCATATTAAACTATCTCCCGCCAAATGAAAGCAGCCAAACACAACACGTCAGCGGGAATCAACGCTGATGCCATCCCGTCGCGTGCGACTCGATGTCCGGGCGCGGGAGAAAAGCGAGCATTTTCCCTGACGGAGCTGCTGCAGCTTTGTTATCAAACGAAACCAGCCAAAACGTCTCACTCGGACTTCCTTTAACTCTTCTGCTTACTTCCCTGGCTCGGGAGCGCACTTACTTAAAATGGTGTTTTACCTTTCGGCAGTTGAAGCAGCTGCTGTTTCTTCTGGCATTTTAATGCGTGAAATAAACTAAGCTGTAATGTACTGTTGGATGATGTGCGTGCAGACGGCAGGTTTGTGAAGCTGCTCCTGAATTAGTCTTTGTTGGCGCCTTTAAATACGGATACAAGCCGGACTTCCGCTGAACTACGACCCTGTCACAAAAACGCGGGAGAATAAATTTAAAGGGCAAGCAACCGTATTAAAATATTTGTATTTTTTCCCCCTTTATTCAGTTCCATCACACTAAAGCACAATACAAACAGGGAAACGTTGCACATCTCAAAGCATGCAAAACAGAACAACAGCAACAACAAAACGCAAAATTAATACAAATATATATATATATATATATAAAATAAAAATAACAGGATAAAAAATATATATATAATAATAATAATACATACATTAGGGCAGCTACATAACTTTGAAAAGCTTGAGAATTTGTATTGTTTTTATTAGCTTCTTATTTTGTGATCTCATATTAGAAAGGGTTTCAAAGTATATTTTAAGATCAGTGTTACAAAATGTAATATATGATGGTTTCTTTTGAATTACTTTTGACTTATGTATATAAAACTTTGCTAAGATAATTAACAGATCGTATTACAAGATGAATGGAAAGTATATTTTTATCTAGATTTTGTGAGACTCAAAAAAATATTTTTTTTAATATTATTTATATGCAATTATATTAAAACAATTTAAATACTTTATTCACTTTCTTATTTAAAACATGTTCCAGTTGTTTTTGTGAATAAAATATAATAAATTATATTCTATATTCTATAATAAAACTACTACTACTAATAATTATTATTATAATAAATTATATTAATATAACAACTTTCCTTATCAGATTACTTTATCAAGAGGAAGGGCAGTGGAAATAGTTGAAATATTACATACACACATACATTATATATATATATATAAATAAAATTAGAATCTGATTAATTAACATAAAAAATATGTCAAAATAACCTTGAGGGTCTTAAAAATATGCTTTATTTCCAAAATGTAAATTTGTTCTTTTAAAAGTGATAATCCAGATTAATTCTTGACCAGTTTCATAATATTAATTGTGAATACATTTAAAATCAGCCCTTGTTCATTAAGTTTCATTCCACACATGACAAAAAATGAGCACACATTTCAATATGTAACAAAACATTTTTTTATTGTGTTTAGAAGTATACAGAGTAATGAATGGACACATGGTTCCAAGGCACAGAATCACGTAGAAGTGTGTATTAATAGGGGTCATTAAAAGGGTAGTGAGGATGTCCTGCATCTCGGGGGACAGACTTACCATCAACCTAGAAAAATAGATGCAAAAAACGTAACCTCTTTGTTAATGGCCACGTAAACTTTAGTGCTATGTTGTATGATGTGGCTTACAGTAATGTAACTTACAGTAATGGTTGGCACAATGTAACGCCAGCCTCTGTGCAATGCTGTCACTTGATTAATTTCCTCAGGTTCAAGAGTGAAATCAAAGACCTGTAAATGAGCAGAGTAAATGCATCGCATTGTTACAATACATGGTCATAAACACTCTAGAACAGGGCTGTCCAAACTCGGTCCTGGAGGGCCGGTGTCCTGAAGAGTTTAGCTCCAACCCCAATTAAACACACCTGAACCAGCTAATCAAGCTCTTACTAGGCATACTAGAAACTTACCAGCAGGTGTGTTGAGGCAAGTTGGAGCTAAACTCTGCTGGACACCGGCCCTCCAGGACCGAGTTTGGGCAGCCCTGCTCTAGAACATGAAAGAATAAAGAAAAACATGAAGATACCTGGATATTCTCTTTGATCCGAGACTGTGTAATGCTCTTTGGGATAGTCACTACTCCTCGTTGAGTTTGCCACCTGCCAAAACATCAATGAAGAAATACTATGTAATAATCAGTGAAGAAATACCATACACAACTCGTGCAGAAGCATGAATTTACCTGATGATAATTTGTGCAGGAGTCTTGTTGTATTTCTTGGCTAGTGCAGCCATGGCTGGTTCCTCCAACAGCACAGGCTCTTCTGGATGCTTCCAGGCTCGGTCAGGAGATCCTAGCGGACTGTAAGCAGTCATCACCAAACCTCGATCCCGGCAGTGAGCCAACAGTTCAACTTGTGCAAGGTATGGATGGGACTCCACCTGCAAAACACTATTGTTACTCAACAAACTGATAGAATAGACCATATAAATTAGGACATCACATTTTCTTCTGACCTGCAAAACAGTTGGTTTGATGCTTGCAACTGATAAGATGTCATCGATCTGTCTGCTATTGAAGTTTGAGAGCCCGATGGCCCTGACAAGGCCCTTTCCCACAAGTTTTTCCATAGCAGCCCATGTCAGCTTGTAGTCTATGTTGTCATACAGCAAGGTTCCATCCTCCTTCCTAGGAAAAGAGGTATCACCTCGTCTGGATAAAAATAACAAGATAAAACACTTGACTGAGAAAAGGCAGAGCACATTAAAGGGCTAGTCCACCCAAAAATGAAAATTCTGTCATATTTACTCACCCTCATGTCATTTTTTTCTTTGGTGGAAGATGTTTTGAAAAATGTTAGTACCAAACAGTTTTAGTTCCCATTGACTTCTATCATGTTTTTGACCATACAATGTAAGTCAATGGGAGCTAAAACTGTTTGGTACCAACATTCCATAAAATTCTTCAAATGATGACAGCATTTTCATTTTTGGGTGAACTATTCCTACTAATGAGCACTTCACACTTCATTCCCCAAAGGAGATCAAGAAAATGTCGCGTTTATATTGGCAATAAACAAGACATCCAGAATAAGACTATTATAACAACAGAATATTATAGAATCTTGCACCCTTTAATCTCTTTTAAAAACAGTCATAATTTCGATTTTTCTTTAGATTTTAGATCTTAAATTAGTTCTGAGAAGAGTAACCAATTCAAAGTAATTAATACACAGTACTCTCTTTCTCTCTGTGTATATAAAGTAAAAAAGTGATTTGATGTGTAGCCAAGTATGGTGTCCCATACTCAGAATTTGTGTTCTGCATTTCATCCATTCAAGTGAGCACACACAGCAGTGTGTAGTGAACACACACCCAGAGCAGTGGGCAGCCATTTTTGCTGCGCTGCCTGGGGAGCAACTGGAGGGTTCGGTGCCTTGCTCAAGGGCACCTCAGTTGTGGATAATGAGGGTGGAAGAGAGTGCTGGTCATTCACTCCCCCCACCTACATTTCCTGCTGGTACTGAGGCTTGAACCTGCAACTCTCTAACCATTAGGCCCCTATATATATTCTCATTATAAGAAGAATTGGAGGCTTACTGGAAGGCATATGGCCAATGGATGAGGTAGAGGTCCAGGTACTCCAGCTTTAGGTCTTTTAAGGTCTTTAACAGAGATGGTTCCACGTCATCTGGGTGGTGTTTTGTGTTCCACAGTTTGGAGGTCACAAATACATCCTCTCGCCTTATGCCCTGAAAGAAGACAACAGTTGTAAAGCACACGTTGTTCCTTTATATTTAAGTGTATGGGTATGTATTTCATATTTGTAATCCACTTGTTTGACCTACTTTTTCAGGTCCCATTATTTCCTGAAATGCTTCACCGATCTCTGGCTCATTCCCGTAAATGGGAGCACAGTCAATGTGCCGATATCCAGACTGCAATGCCCAAATAACTGCCTGTTTTACCTGCAATTGACAACATATTTATATAAAATGCTGAACACAATATTTAAATCCAAAGATGATTGCAGAACATAATGGATAATATACTGAAGAACTGCATATCCTAGTAAATATCCTCTCATTCTCAATACACCCTATTCAGATTCAAATTCTGTCATAATTACAGTTGGGATAATGCACAGAAAACTTACTTGTCCTGCTTCACTCTTCCATGTCCCAAGTCCCACAAGGGGCATCTTCCGTCCAGTGCTGAGCACAGCAAAATCATTCATACTCATCCTGTGTGCCTTCAGAGAGAAAAAAACACACAATATGAACAGTGTTCATACATGGAATAGACTTCTAAATCTATGATTTAATCCCTGTACTAGTAAATCAATCTGAACCCTAGACACTCACAGAAAGGTGAATGCAAAATGTTCAGTGTTCAAATTCAAATTCATTCAGCAGAAGGAAAGGAAGTGTAACCTGCTGACTTATCAGCTGACTTCCACCGAACCTCTAGCAGGATGTAAATATTGTAACACCCTGCACTGAATTTTTGGGGACAGCATAACTTTTGGGTCAGCAAACTTTATAAAATTAATAATGAAAATTAGTTTCAAACAAAAAGTCTTTGTATTTTAATATAAAGGGCATTTAAATAATCACATCAATTCAACCTCCATGCATTACAGGCACACTCCCAGTCATGATTCTTAATCAGTTTGCGCTGAATTGTCTAGTTAGTGCTATGAATCACACAGAGAGTTGGATAACGTACCATTCGACAGTAAAACTTGTGAGAATGAATGACAAGACGCAGAGCACGTTGAATATGCTGCATTTCTCCCTGTAAAATCAGGTCAACTAGTGTCCCATGTGGCGCATCACAACAAGGAATGTTTTTTCTAGGTCAGGGATAGTTTTATATTATTTGTTCAGATACTTACGGTGTATGAGTATGTCAAGGAATTTCTTCACTATATAACTATCCAGGTTAATTAAAAAGTATTTGAATATTTTCTCATAACGCTAACGTATTTACGTCCTGTTCGCTGTCCTCTAAAAACATCCGTCAAAATAAAAGTCTCTATAACATTGCAACAAATTCCTCACCGTCACTCTTTTCTAGTTCAAGTGAAAAGGATACAAATTAAAATGAAGACTTAATCTTAGCTATTTGCCAAATAAAAAAAACCAAACCCCATGTCATTTTAGTCCGATCATATGAAAATAATATTATGATCAATCTGAAACTCCTTCATACGTTCCGTAACCTATACAATACACCACCCTTTGTACACTTCTACACGTCTTTTCTTTTTGAAATGTAAAACTGAAAGGGAAAGTTAGGGATTCATTATGGTTTGCTTATTACCCTACTTTATATTTAAAATAAATATTTTATTTCTCTCATGAAATTAAGAGCAGTTTTGCTAACTTTATACCAGAGCACTAAACTAGTATAGAAGTGATTATGTCCAGTCTTCTCATGGCTTTAGCTGTTCAACTTCAATTCTGACATAGATTCAAATGAACCTGTACAGAATTCCCCAAACTCAGAGACACCTTCACACACCAAAATAACAGCAAAATTTTTTTTTCAATCATTGTCTTACAATACATCAGTTGTTTAATTTACACAGTACAGTTAATTCAGGATGAAAAAAAATCAGCAATTTCTGGTTGTAAATTTCAATTATAAGTATAAAACAGCATCAAAAACTTATGAGGACAAAATTTAGCTTGGGCAATTTACACAGAATATGATCAAGCTTTTTACAACAGAAATTGCTCCGTTTCTCCACATATTACAGAGCACAAAAATATCAACAACAAAAAAAAATCCCCACGGAAACCAGATCACTCGTTTCCTCTTGCTGACTTATCAGCTGACTTCCACCGAACCTCTAGCAGGATGTAAATATTGTAACACCCTGCACTGAATTTTTGGGGACAGCATAACTTTTGGGTCAGCAAACTTTATAAAATTAATAATGAAAATTAGTTTCAAACAAAAAGTCTTTGTATTTTAATATAAAGGGCATTTAAATAATCACATCAATTCAACCTCCATGCATTACAGGCACACTCCCAGTCATGATTCTTAATCAGTTTGCGCTGAATTGTCTAGTTAGTGCTATGAATCACACAGAGAGTTGGATAACGTACCATTCGACAGTAAAACTTGTGAGAATGAATGACAAGACGCAGAGCACGTTGAATATGCTGCATTTCTCCCTGTAAAATCAGGTCAACTAGTGTCCCATGTGGCGCATCACAACAAGGAATGTTTTTTCTAGGTCAGGGATAGTTTTATATTATTTGTTCAGATACTTACGGTGTATGAGTATGTCAAGGAATTTCTTCACTATATAACTATCCAGGTTAATTAAAAAGTATTTGAATATTTTCTCATAACGCTAACGTATTTACGTCCTGTTCGCTGTCCTCTAAAAACATCCGTCAAAATAAAAGTCTCTATAACATTGCAACAAATTCCTCACCGTCACTCTTTTCTAGTTCAAGTGAAAAGGATACAAATTAAAATGAAGACTTAATCTTAGCTATTTGCCAAATAAAAAAAACCAAACCCCATGTCATTTTAGTCCGATCATATGAAAATAATATTATGATCAATCTGAAACTCCTTCATACGTTCCGTAACCTATACAATACACCACCCTTTGTACACTTCTACACGTCTTTTCTTTTTGAAATGTAAAACTGAAAGGGAAAGTTAGGGATTCATTATGGTTTGCTTATTACCCTACTTTATATTTAAAATAAATATTTTATTTCTCTCATGAAATTAAGAGCAGTTTTGCTAACTTTATACCAGAGCACTAAACTAGTATAGAAGTGATTATGTCCAGTCTTCTCATGGCTTTAGCTGTTCAACTTCAATTCTGACATAGATTCAAATGAACCTGTACAGAATTCCCCAAACTCAGAGACACCTTCACACACCAAAATAACAGCAACATTTTTTTTTCAATCATTGTCTTACAATACATCAGTTGTTTAATTTACACAGTACAGTTAATTCAGGATGAAAAAAATCAGCAATTTCTGGTTGTAAATTTCAATTATAAGTATAAAACAGCATCAAAAACTTATGAGGACAAAATTTAGCTTGGGCAATTTACACAGAATATGATCAAGCTTTTTACAACAGAAATTGCTCCGTTTCTCCACATATTACAGAGCACAAAAATATCAACAACAAAAAAAAATCCCCACGGAAACCAGATCACTCGTTTCCTCTTCGACTTCTCTTGTGACTCTTCTTTGACCGACTAGAACACAGAGACAAATGCAGCATGAAACAAGAGGGGAAAAACAAAGAAAATCATTTAAATTCATTTGATATACGTGAGCATTACCTTTCTGGGGACTTGGAGTGACTGCGATGCCTGTGACTTCTGTGGTGACCTGGAAGAAAATATACCAATATTTCTTAATGATCAGTTTTTCCATTTACTCTAATTATTTTAAACAACATATTGTGGTGACTTTTTTTCTTTGTATACTTGAAAAGAGCCTCACTGTACCTGGAGATTTGGAGCGATGCCTTCTGTCCCTGGATCTGCTGCGGTGTCTACGGGGACTTTTGCTGCGGTGACGGTCCCGATCTCGATCACGTCTGGGTGATGGACTGAATGAAAAGAGTAATCAGACAAATGTATTACACTGTATCATCTCCTAAAATAACACTAATAATATATCTAAAACACTAATAATGTGCCTAAAATAATTTAATTATATACCTTCGTTTTTTAGGTGATCTGCTCCGCCTAAAATGAAAAAACAAAACAGAGAATCAGAAGAATAATTATGCATCTACTAAGCCAGCAACCTGGAATAATATGATCTGAATGATGATTAGCACCATCACTGACCTTCTGGGTGAGCGGCTGCGTCTGTAGCGTGGAGAAGGAGACCTGCGTGGCCGGTCCATATCTCTATAATTTCTTCTGTGTGGCTCTGGTGTCTGCACTCTCTCTGGCTGCAGTACATATGGAGAGGTTGTGTAACAGTCACATTCAATATATATATATAATTATTAATTACAATAATCATTTGTGCTTGGATAGATTGCCAGACATTGTGAGTTCACTTTTACCTTCTCTTCTTCCTCATCCTCCTCCTCACTGGTCTCCACCTCATCTAGATCTTCTTCCAGAGCACTAATACGAGTATCCAGCAGCTCAGCTTCCTCCAAAACCTGTCTCTTCTGTGAAAAACAAAACACCCAAATGAACACGTGGACATTATTTTTTGACAAATGACTCAATACATTTCCTTTAAAATTCACATTACTTTAAAGGACAACACAAATGCACTCCATTTATGTAAATAAATAAATGTATATACATACACACTACATGTAACAAGTCCAACCAACCTGAAGTCTAGGGAGGATGACGTCACACACTCGCTCTGCATTAAGCAGCTCATCTATAAACTCATCAACGTGCATCAATTCAAACTCTGTGTAAAGAAGAAACATTATTCGCAAATGTCTTTTTCAGCAAGGATAAATTACGCCATGCCACATACCCACTAAATATTCAAGAAAAATGCTCACCCCCATTTCTGTTCTGGCTTTTGATTTTTCTGTAGTCATTGTATAACGGCTCTAAATACTTGTAGCAATCCACAGAAGTTCCAGTCAGGCGCATATACATCGCTCCAAGCAAACGGACATACCTGGAGGGGGAAAAACAGATCAGTAATGCAAAACCCCAAAACCTTCACGCACAGTGTAAACAGGAAAATGACAAACTGCATACAGTTAGAGCAGTAATTGAACACTAACTTGAAGTCTTCATTCTTGATGAATTCCACAATAATGTCCTTTTCAGGCTGGATCTGCAGCATCTTTAGGGTCAGACATAAGAATGGAGTTGGCTTGATGTTTCCTCCATATACCCCACCAACGTACTTCAGCTCCATTGCTTTGTCCACGACAAGCTCAGCTAGATTTTACAGAGGGGACAATAATAGTGACGGTTAAAATGATGCTTGGCACATTATTTCCACAATTCCATATACGTACGTAGAAATTATTACAGACCTTAACTCTGTCAAGCTTACAGAGTTCATACTTTATACATGACTTTCTAAGGCCTCCAAAATGTTCAACATGCTGAAAAACCTGTTGTACACAATTTTCTACACGTCTTCTACCATCTGATTGATAGCACATACTTTATAGAGCACTTTTAATATAATTCTAATAATGTTCACCTTCAGGTCATGCTTTTTGCTGTGAAATCTTTAATGATTTTCATAAAGTAAATGTGGTAATGACTTTTATATGAACCTTTACTGGACTGAAACAACTTTGATATATATATATATATATGTGTGTGTGTGTGTGTGTGTTTCGGTCTATTATTTCATATGCCAGGCTTTACAGGGTTAATAATAGATTAAAAGATAGGGTAATCACTTCTACGACTATATGAATACGCCATTCTCAAGTCACATTACTAATGCTGCCAAAGGTAAACAATGAACTACAGCAGGTCCGCTTTAAAATATGATGAAATAAGATGAGGTAGCCAGTAAGTAGACTTACTTCGAGGTAATTTGGTGAGTAAGGCAAATAACTACTGTTGTTTTTAACGCCACATTAACAAATACCGTATGCACACTTCTCTCACCTGTAAGTCCAAAGCATTCCTCTTTCCAGTATTTGGACTCATAAATACGTGTCCGTATAATCTTCTCGACAAGATACTGAGGATTTGTTCCATGTATACTATTAGCATCTTTTACCGTTCTATTAGCCATGGCTCAAATTTTTTAATGAACGAACGGATAATCTGAACGCTAACATGCCATTGAGAAATATCGAAGAATGGCATCCGGGGAAAAGCGTGCGTCACATCCGTAAGGTCAAGCGGTATTTTGCTGTCCAATCAAAAGATCTTCTTACTTCATCTGCGCGCGAAAGAGAAGTGTGTTTTGTGTGATTGTTGTATGATTGTGCTCTCTGTCTACTGTGCTGTAAGATGCGTTCAACTTCATATATACGCTGATTTAAATTTCGGTGTGTCTAAATTTGTCGGAGACGGAATATTATTGCTTATTCATTTGTTTGATAAGGAGATTTGAAACTGTTTCTGAAATTACCGGCTGGTGAGTAAAGAGAGGTGCTGGGGATTTAAAGTTGACTTTACCTTAAGTTACCTTACATAAAGAAGACTGGTTATTTTAACAGTTTGGAATTTATATAATATAATAAATAATAATAATAATAATAATAAACGAAATAATAATTGTAATTAAAAGTTACCTTAGTTTTAGTCCGGGTCACTGTTTAAACCAGCTCCAATTTGATTAGTTAGCCAAGTTGCTAGCTAGCTGACTTAATAACAGGTATTTAAAGGTAAATATATCACTTCAAATGATTGCATTTAATATAATAATAAAAGTTGCAAACATTTTTATATGTTTACGATTATAACAGACCGTGTGTGTGTGTGTGTGTG